CAAACATGTCAACAAAAGATGGTCTATCCAAAACAACATGAGAATCAGACTTGTTTGCTGACAGAGCAAACTGACAGATTAAGATATTAAATGTGAAAGTGATTAGGCCTGAATCTGCCAAAACATTCTCTGTGCACACACGAGAGACTAGGACAGATATCCAGGTTTAGCTCAAGAGATTAATTTAGCCTTTGAAAACCACAAAGTCCAGGGGAGCAAGCATCACTCAGAATGGAGTAGCTTCATGCCAAGCCAGCACAATACGCCTTCACTGGGATGGGACAGAAACCACCTGGTTCTTAAGAAGGGCTGCCAGGGTTGCTAGCACTGCAGCATGCATGTCAGCCAGCTGTACACAGGTCAACGCATGGCCAGTTTGCTTTCCTTGGACTAACAAGCAATCTGCTAGAGTAGAGTTTGAAAACATATGAATCTTGGTGTATCTATTCTTGACATGCTGTAATAACTCATGGCTGCGAACATGCAGTAACTCTGTCCCAGCTGTCAGTCAGCTGCACACAGCTCTTGCTGGAGATGGCAGCTTTGGCTTGGGCCCACATCTGGCTATTCCCACTTCCACAAGTGGCCACCCACTGACAGATGGAGAAGGTCTACAGCCATCCAAGGCAGACAGACATTCTAATGTACTTCTACAATGTACAAAACCTGCATGCCCAAAATAGTATCCACTAACACTAAACTATACAGCTTAGGGGCATTAAAGAGAACAGGCTGAAAACTGTGTCACCACTTTTTATAATTCAGTGCCTGAATGAACCTGGCAGAGTGGAGTAATTGAGAAGAGCAGAGCCATCTTCTTACCAGTAGTTAGATATCATTTTTCATATGTCCCACTGCACTAATCAAGTTTTCTCCACTCAGTGGATTTAACCTGCTTTCTTCCTCTCCAAAAAACCTGTATCCAGGGAAGGAGTGTAAAAAAGAATTTCTCCAGGAAAGTATGTCACTTGATTCCTTCTATCAAGAGCAAGAACCAGGAAACAAGAAGCATAGGGCAAGCTCTGTGGTTCCAAAAAATGCAGAAAATCACTGGAGCAAGCTTTGAGAAATCCACTTTGCCAACTAGCCTTCAAAGTTACTGCTCACTACCGAAAGATCCATACAGTGTATCTTCACCCAAGGATACCCTACAACCTCCAAAAGTGTTTCAGAACACACTGATCACCAGACAATCCAGACACACAAGTGTGTTACTAGCAGATGCTACAGGATTTTCCCTGTGTTAGCAAAACATAAATCAGGAACATAAAGCTTGGTGCAGACAATACTTCCTTCTCTCTCCACCTCCTCCTTCAGAGGTGTCTGTGCACAGACCACCCAGCAGAGCTGCCTCCTCTTAGCTTTTCCCTTAAGGTTTATGTGTCTTTTTGGTTATCTGCTCCCTAGGACATGGGAATTGGCTTTGGTTTCGGAAGTCCACACACAGTGCACTGACCCTGTCCTTCCAGAAAACTTGCTATTCGAGCTGGTTTCACAGGAGGAATCATCAGTGCCATAATTTCGACCAATAGGAATCATCCATCTGCTTTCTCAGGCATCTTCTGATTTTGAATATACATTTAAGCAAATATAAGGTGAAAGAACATCACCTGCGTAAGACAGCTATTCTCAGCAATGCTTCTTCCTGGTGAATACACCAAGTCCTGTTTTAAATATCATAATGCTCAAGAGGATGCATTGAGATAGTCAGTGCCTGCTCACACGTCTGTGAATGCATGCCACACTATTATAGGCTCATCACCCTCCTCTAGCCCTTGTGGTCTGTCTCAAACACTGCAAATGCAAGTTAAGCCACAAAAAGTTGTCTACTGTAAGACACGGTTGTCTGCATTTCCTTCCACCAGCTCAAGCTCATGTTCCTTCTTGCCTGGTTGATAATCAATACCTTCCTCTTCTTTCTAAAGAGGATGGCAAGTCTGGCCTTCATGCATTTCTACAAGGTTTGGGTCAGAGGACTGACCTCTCTGCTGTGCTGCAAAATGATAAATGACCTCCAGCCTTTAAGTGACACAGGTGGTTTAACAGAAGACTAGAACCATCCGAAGTGTCTCCCTAGTAGATAGTGGTACCTAGGTACATTTGTGGGACTTGCAAATTACAGCTGGCTTGTCCTGTGCTGACTGGACATGAAGGCAAGAGTAGCATTTAGCTATTTTAACTGATTGAACGCATCAAAGCAATTAGGAAGCTCCTGGCAAGTGACATCAGGGGGTACAATTTCTTTCCACTGACTTTCACAGGTTATTCCATTTCTGACGTAAAATCTGAATGTAATGTCAGGTACTACTGATTAGTTTCATACCACAGTGCTTCTAAGAGATCAGTAGAGTGCAAATACTAACCAAAAAAGGAGACTAAAACCCTGTAGTAGTAGGAAATCATGTGGGGTTCTACAGTCAGGTTTCTCTGATTTAGAGGTGAGCATTTTCCAGAGCCTACAATCACAGGGAATGGTGAGTGACTTTGGAAAAAAAAAAGAAAAAAAAAAAAAAAAAAAAAAAAAAAAAAAAAAAAAAAAAAAAAAAAAGGTGTGGAGAGAAAACTTGTATAGTGTAAGAAAAAGAGCAGAGCTAAGAAGGAAGCAGCTGTGGTTCAGTTCAAGATCTGACGACTTTAGCTCATCTGTTCTTGACAGACTATGACTCTGCTATCACTTAAAAGTCTGACCTCACAGTGTGTTAGCCCACCTCCAATCTATCTGATCTGTTTAATGCAAGACATACCCAGCACTGTGACCTGCTCTCACCCCACCATCCAACTCTAATACAGACTCTACATCAACCACCTGTGTTGAGTGGAAATGCCGATTACTACTGTAGCAAATGAAATAAAATGACTCAGGTGATTATGTGTGTTAAGATACTTTATAGGTACGCAGGTCAGCATGAGATTACAAGCCTGCTTTTATGTGATCAAGTTAATGATTACTGCCAGAGCAAGACATCCCAGACTCTTCCTGGTTTGGGTATATTCTAACTAATAATGATTGGAATTTGAATATGCAATTCCAACAGGAGAAAAGATTTTGCTTAAATTACTGTACAGGGATAGATTAATGGTTTTAATACTAACAGTGCAAAAGAAAAAGTATGAGTGGCAAGACAAATTGATGTAACTGACACTAACTGCTACAGTCTGTGGTTTTAAGATAGAAGCTTCCATATACAACATTTGTATCTTTGACAGTTACTTGTATCTACATATATCACCAAGTCCCTCATGATTACACAGAAAAATCTGAGGCATAACAACTTAAAAAAATTACAACGCTGTGTCAATTCTTCCCCTCTTTTAAATACCTCCACCTTTGAGCTCAGGCCCAGGCTTTCCAAAAGCAGATCTTTCAATACTCAAGATGGAAACAACACAGCCAGAAAGTTAAACTCCTTCAGTGAAGCAACTATAGCTTTCCAAGGAAGGATCTTTACTGTTTCATTGTCTGGATCATATACAGTCTGTGCAGCAACACACAGATATTCTATAGTTCAATTTGTTAGCACAGAGGGTCTGTTTCTAGAGAAATCAGACATTCTCTTGCCACTTCTCAAGAAAAAAAAAGCTTGTTTAACTTTAAAACACCCAGCCTGCTTTTTAAATTCAACGAAAGTTTAACTTCCTGCCTTACCTTCTTTGCTTCTGTATGCTTCCAAGCTTGGACTGATTCATAGCTGCCTCTTCTACACGCAAAGGTTTGCAGATCTTTTTCTTCAAAGAATCTAAGATGCTCAGCTCACACTGTAGAATGAGTAGTCAGGACAGCTTCACGGTGAAGTTACTCTTGGTAATTTAAAAGCTACACAGAGCCAATCACTGCAAACAGAACTGACAGTACTCCTTTCTCCACTGTCCACAAAAACTATCATTCCAGTGACTCACCACATCAAAACCCTCAAAAAAAGCACACAATATGTTGATGTTACAATTGTACATCTTCAAGCTCTGTCAGGCCTCCTCCACAAGATTCTCCTTCTTGAAGATGTTTCAAAATCCTACAGCTTCTGCAAGGGTCTGTACTCAACTGTGAAATATGAAAGCAGTGGCATTTTCCTCATACCTGCAACTGATCTCTTGGTTGTCCCTCTGTACTCATGAGGAATTCAATTGTTAATCAGGGCTTATGTTCAGCAGTGCTTACTGGATTCAGGCAATCTCCTGCAAGGGGGATGGGAACAGGATACCCCACATGTCACTAAGGAAATCTGTAGACTACAACCTTGGAAACTTCACAGGACAGCTAAGTTTCTGCAAAGGACAGAGCTGCTTCAAATGGGCACCAGTTTAACACATGCTTTCTGATTTCTAGTTCTCACTTAAGTTCTCTTGTTCTTTTTGTTTTCTAAAACTTGCGTCCATACACAAAGCAATCAGTGTACTAGTATAATTGTATTAGTAAAGCTGTGGAGGTAAGAGAATATCTATGTAAGTATTATTTTTCACTCTAAGTTACTTTATCCTGGTAGTATGCCACAATTCCAAAATAATTTACATTAAGATCAACGTATTGTCTCTTAGCACAGAGTTGGAATTGGTTATCACAGATATAAACAGCAAGAAAAAAGACATGAATGAAACAAAGTACTGAAAAAGCCTTGACTAGAAAAATATGACCTTTTAAACTGAATTGTCCTTGAAGACAACACTTTCCATCCGAAATGTCCAGACAACTTAGAAGACTTCTTTTATTTCATGTGTTAAAAGGCTTTGAAACAATTGCTTTTTCCCCACTTTAATTCACTTTTGTATTTCACAAAATGAAATAAGAGGCAGGCACACTATATCTAAGGACTTGAGACCAGATGATACTACAACAGCAAACAGTATACTAGCAATGTTCCCGTATACAAAAAAGAAAAATTAAAAAAAGACTGATACATTTGATAAATTTATGTCCATTTTGATGGACAAAAGTAACTTCCATTTTCATCAAAGTCAAATATAGTATATCTGTGCACAATGAAAAGAAACACAAATGCTGACAGTGTGCATCTCTTGATGATTCTGGTTTGGACATTTTTTAAAGGAAGCACAGAAACAGGGAAGAGCAAATGCTATGCACTTCACACACCAAGGAAGTCTTATCTCTGACTTTGACCCGACAGAGGAATAGAAATACAGGATAAAAATTGCTGTTCAACATTGCTTTTTCATCATTAGAGCTCCCAAAAGGCAATCCAGAAAAGATTTTAAGATAAGTAAAGAAATTAAAAGGTCAGACAGTTCCTGCTGTGGACAAAAATCAGATCTTGCAGTTCTGAGAAACAACATTCCTCATTCTGCCTCAAGCCGAGGTAAGACAGGAAGAATAAGATTTCCAAATGCAGAGTCTTGAGTTATGAAGTATCCTGAGGAATGTGCATGTGCATGCTGAAAAGAGAAAAATATATGTTAAAGCATAACTCCCTGAAGCACTGATGTAATTTAAAACTTTACAGCTTCTGCAGCATTAATTATTTATTTCTCCCAGACTGCTCCTCAACTCTGACAGTCAAATTCAAAACCAGCATTTTAGATCAACCACATCTGAACAGGGTGCATCAAGGGAATTAACTTGGCCATTCCCTACTGCTCCTTTTTTGGCAAATCCCATGAAGGTGGGGAGCATGGTAAATGGACTCCTGATCGCTTTCCTCTGCCTAGATCCCAGGCTTCAATTCCCATCTATAACCAACTCACAGGTCTTGGTCTGGGACAGCTGCCACATATGGCTGCCAGAAGTGTGCATCAGCAGTGCCACACAATCCAGGGCTGCAGGTACCAATGACACATGACCAGACACATTCCTGTACAACATGGAACACCAGGCTTCTGCTCATGTGATGTCTACATGCTTCTTTACCCAAGGAGGGCAGCTGCTGCTTATGGCTCTGGACAGCATTTGTAAAATCCTATGCAGACCTTCCCAGTTCAAAGACTGGACTCCAGTAAGCTAGATGGCATGCACAGTCCTTCCTTCCACCACTACAGAAAAGCCCTGGTGAACATCAAATTTAGCAAGGGCCGGCACTGCGCCCTTGCACTGATAAAGGCTACCAGCACAGTGGGCTGCATCACCAAGGAGGCCAAAGGAAGCTGCCCAGGAGGCTGCATTTGTGATACTATGTTTAGTTTAAAGATACAAACTCGAGGGAGTGCAACAGGGACCCAAAAAGACAGCTGGGGGCTGGGCTGGAGCTCTCAACCTCCAAGGGGATGGTGAGAAGACTGAGCTTCTTGTAAGAAGAGAAAGCTGAGGTGAGATCTTATGCTGTTTTCAGATATCTGGTGACAGGACATAGAGGAAAGAGATAGACTCAGAGCCAAGAAAGGCTGTGAGAAGTCCATCCCTGCAGAACTTCAAAAGTTGATTGGACAATGTTGATTGGACAATGTCCTGAACAACGTGATACAGCACTGCTGTTAGTCATACTTCGAGCAGGAAACCTCCAGAGGATCCTTCTAGCCTACAATGTTCTGTGATCAACACAGGACACCACCCAGAGCTCATTTCTGCTTCCATTCACTTTAGGAGAAGCAATATGGGGCCCTTACTGGTTAACAGAAACACAAGAAGGCACAGGGTACGTATGTGAACAAGGTTTCTAATTTGTATCTCAACATTTTTCCCATTCCTGTGCCCTCTGCCAAACTATGCTGCCTGGAGTGCCAGAAAGGCATGTGGCCACGTATTGGCTCTCCTGCTCAATTTCCATTTTCAACACCAAAGTCAGCCTCATCTGACATAAGTAGAATAGCAGCAAATAGAAGACTGTAAACGTACAAGTAAGTTTTCCAAATCTTTTACCCCTGTCACTAGTAACTGCAGGGTACTGGAATCTACTCAGATTCAACCAAAAAAGGTCATGTGGCTAGTTCTCCCTACACTTCATGAGACATTCAGAAGGATGATAAAACTGACTCGACTGAGATGTACAGAACAGCTATGATGATATTGTAGGCTACATTCTTACAACCATATTCAGGCAGAATGAACTGATAGATTTAAGTTTTCATCATAACAGAAGAAACTTCATCTGCAACAAATACAGAAATGTATGAAACCTAACCTCTAAAAGGGGCTTTTCATTCTCTTTAGGTGCAGGCCTGCTCTCTGAAGGGATGCACATCTAAAACAGAGCCAAGTGAAGCTCTACCTGACTATATCAGCCTACCTGCAGTGCAGCCTTCTGCTGTGCTGCAATGTGCTGCTGCTCAGCATGATCACGGAAATCCTTGTTAAGCGGTGATCTTGCAAGTGCAATGCTGCAAAAAAGAAGATGATGGTAAGATACATACTGCAGAGAAATATGTGTCCTTGCCGTTCCATGACTTCCACAGCTCAAAACTTATTTGGCTCACAGCTTGACAATTGTCAACTATTGGTTGGAATTACTATTTTTTAACATGAGAGAACAGGAAAATGGAGTGACCTGTATCATTTGACCTAGTACAAACACTTGATGCCAAACTAAACCCAGAAAAGTCACAGCTCTGAAGACTGTTGTGGATTTCACTCATGGGTGGAGTGCCATTGAAGTCAGTAGAACCACTGGGGTGCAACGTTAGGCAATGTCAGCAATTTTTAAAACAGCAGCTCTGTGCTGCTTTACTCAGTCACTCAATGACTGTTCTAAACAACTGTGATAAACAGAAGCACTAACAAGGGCTCTGAAGTCTTCTGAATAAGACTAGTTCTTCAGCAGCTGGTCAGCAGATCAGTGCTTATGGTAAAGGAGCTTCATATTTATGTAACTGAAATAATGATCCTCTGATGATAGCTTAGAGTATCTAAAATTGATTTTGCTTATCTATCGCAGTGCACCATACATTAGGTTTCAAATTAAAATTTCTCAATAGATTTTATTGGCTTTTGTATCTTAAGATTTGTCCACCTTGTTAACCAAAAAAGGAAGACATAAAAAGCAAACTTTTTTTTCCCCCAACTGTATATTAAAGTAACATAGTCAGCCATCCTCCAGACAGAAATCAGCAAGGACTGCCATTAGAGCTGTATCACAAGACAATTCACAACTACCTCTGACACTGGCTCTGAAGACTGGTGCTGAAAGCCCAGCTCTCCTGAGTCACAGGACAAAAGTATGAAGGACAACAAGAGATCCAAGCAAATTCATCAACTGACCTTTCCTAGCAGCTTCAATGTCAACAGCTGATTTAGTAATCAGTTTTTTTAAAAGCAGCCACACTCATGAAAAGACCTTTACCCTAAATGCATAACGAAAGCTAAGTAACAATCCTCTGAGCAGATTTTATGACAAATATTAAGATAAGCTTCACTGCTGCAGAAAAGTACCACACAGTTTATTTAAAACATAACATTTGCAGTTATTTTGAAGGTATTTATTTTACATTTAACTTTGTACTCTATAACTTTTCAATATGATTTCTGTAGATAATCTTACAGCTTCATCATAAACTGACATTTTTCAAGGGAGTTCTTATGTTCTTGGATAGAGGATTCCCATATGCCAAGGCCAGAAATCAATTAACTTGTTGACCCTTATGCTGGCCATGCCACTATTGTGCTTTAGTACATCAAACTCCTTCCTGTCGTTCATAGAATTTCTGTGGTCTCACTTCTGAAAACTCTGTGGCTCAAAACCTTTGGCACAACATCCCTGCCACAGAACTGTCCGCTTCTCAAAAATTACACATCACCCACCATGCCAAAGCAGGCTTTGACTGCTGCCTTGTAGGTGGCCTCCCCATCCCCACCTTCAAAATTAGTAAATTCTAATTCTGCTCATTAGCAATGTTATTTTTCCTTAAAGAAAAAAAGCACACCCTGAAGCTCTGCCAGAATTGCAGTTAAGTATGGAAACACTGTTGCCATTAAGGCAGGGGTTTTACATAACTATATTTCTATTTTTTTCTCTAATCAGTAATTTTGCTTGAATAATAACTGTATACAGAGTTCTAACTCAGAGATCTAACTCAGATGATTCCAAATATCCTGCATGCTTTTTGACAGTGTGAAGAGATTAAACGTGACCTAGCATCTCCTTGAAGAAAGACGCAGGCAGCACTCAAACTGTATTCAGAGCATTTTACTCTCTATCTACATGACACTGCATGTAACATGCTGTGTCTAGAATATGGCACTGCAGTCACTTCATAATTACACAAAAGTTCAACACAATTTCTCCATGTAAACCAGAGTGTGATTTTCTAGTTACTGATTTATGACAACAATCTCATGTTTTTGTCTTAAATGGGAGAAATCCCAGTGACGGCTCTTAAACTCATACCTTACCATGTAGAATTATCCTTACAACACAGCATCTTTTACAAGATCTGTAGTACATAAACTGGCTTTGTCTTGCACACAGGGAATTTCAAAGATAACTCATTCCCTGCCCTAACTGTTCTTCTCTGAACACAAAGTAACCTCAACCTAACGCTCTGCTATTTCCATGCCTTACAGCATTTTAGCTTAATAATTAGCTTCCTCAGTACCTGCTCCCTCGTTCTTCTTTAAGGTAGACTTTAAAACAGTTAAGCATATCTGCTTCTCCTCTTCTCAGATGGAAATTATGTAAGCCAAAATTCAGGGCCTATAAACAATTTAAAATACTTGTATGTTCCTAAAGCAAAGGTGTCTCTGACTGGTTATGGATGATGATCAGAAAACACTTCTGGTAAGTGTTTATGTAAGTTTACACCTCACTTGCTTTTTTTTTTTCCTTTGATGTAATCAGTGATGTCCAAACAGGTCTAAGAACATAAAATACCTGGCTCCAGGGTGATTTGTGGAAGACTGGTTTTGCATAAGTAACTTTCTCTTCTCCTTGTCTAGTTCTGCCAGGATTGCAACCCTATTTTTATTCTGGAAACCTGGTGGGAATGACAGAAAAATATTAGAGAGATTTACTTGATTTCTGTGGCCCAACTCTAACCTTGTGGAATTAAAAGACTCCGTACAATATGACATTATGATGAATACACTAATCTACAAAGCTTTGCAACCATCTGAAAGGCTATTAATAAATAGGTTTCATTTTTCCTTTTCTCATTTTACGACATGAAATAGCTTCCTTAAGCTATCATACATATTAATACATTTTAAAATACAAGTTTCTATCTCAATTTAGATCCTAACCCTTCCCAAGTCAGCTATGGAGCTATAAACAAGGTACATGATCAAGTAAGTACTTGCCTTTCAAAAAAAAGTAAACTTACCAGGTTCTAGATTTAAAATGAACAAAATGAATATACAGCTCATGGTAATAATGGAGCATTATACTCATAGGGCCTAGTTTCTCACACTGGTGAATTCACACTATAATGCAAGTTTTGCATAGGTAACATAGGAATAAGACGACCACTATGCTTGCATATGTGCTTATATGAAAATTTACAACCTTTTATTCAATTTATGCAGAAAGCTTTTGTTTTAATATACTAATGTCCTTACATACACACACTACCCTTATTCCAAGTATGACCACAACGATGGACTAGAGGAAAAAAACTAAACTGTCCAGACAGAATACAAGAACATAGCCTTGATTTTCTTTGTACAACATTCTCCCAAAGGGACCTAGAGAAGGCATCAGGAAGTAGAGTGACTCTGGGAATTCAGAAAATGCCTGAAATAGTTGTCATTTGCATATTTCCAAAGTTGCCTTCTAAATGAAAAAGTGACAAAACTGCTGTACTTACACAGGACTCATATGGCAAAGGATCTCATTGCAATCACCAAATAAACCAGATACACAAGTCCCTGCTGTGTCCCTGTATGCCTGTACAGCACAAGTGAAGACAATGGCTACAGAGCTGACTTCTACAGGCCTCTGTGTCACAAAGGACACACCTCATGGCAAGAAGATACATTTTTTAAATCTCTAATTTGCTGCTATTCTATAACTATAAAGTCACTACGCTATCATAAAAAAAACCAAAAACACCAACGTGTAAAACTCAACTTATCTTCTTTACTTCTTCCATACAAAAAGTCAAAGTAATTCCTATTGGAAATCACTGCCTGTTGTGCCCTTGCCTCCATCCAGAGTGCTGTTTTAGTAACACTACTAAAAAATGGTAGCCTACAAACTATTAGGAAGGCCAGACACAGTGACTCTTCAGGGAAGTATTAGCATGTCAAGGTAAAATGATTTCAAATTTATTTTCAGTAGCTGCACTTGAAGTTCATTCCCTTTGAGAGATCTGCAGCTGCTGCTGCTCAATTACATAATCCAATTCCTTTCATCGGCATGGTTCAATGAAGGAGACAATTATCAGGTAGAAACCTTCAATTCTAAATAATAACTTGCATCCATATTGCCTTGCTATCAAACCCTCACCTTTTTCTTTTACTATGCTGAACATACACATGCCTGAACCTCAGTTTCTCAGAATTCTCGAAAAGAGATTACATTTTACTATGGTTTTATGCAAAAATCACCCATGATCATCCTTACACCCATTAAGATTTTTTAAATTAAATTTAAATAATTGCTAATTTCCTGTCAGTTAATCTCTCCTTCACACATGGCATTAATTCCACTTAAACTGTGTTTTGCTAAGTGTATTGATCCAAATCCTCAGTGTTTCTCTGCTCTTTAGGTATTGTACACTATCTTTTTTTTTTTTTTTTTAGTTTGAAACATTAAAACACAGGTGGATGTGTGCTCTAAGAGATACAAAGGCTGAGAGATCTCACTAATAAGCTAAGACTCAACATTTCTGAGTTACTACCCCAGACTTTACTTTCTTGTAAATTCTGGAAACAGTGCTGTAATAGTATGACTGAAGTACCTCTAAGAGGGTCTGAGCTAACGTGATCATGTCTGTATGTTCATTCTATACAGTTTTCAGCCAAAAAAGCTTAATGCCTGACATATTGCTCAGCAGCCTTCTGCTAGTGCTTGTTCATCCCTAACTGCATAAATTTAAATGCATGCTTGGAATTCAGATGATATTGTGATTGAGGCAAGAAAAGAGAGACTGCTTTTTAATATAATTCAGAAAGGCTTGAGACACGTAAGAATATACTTTTAAATGCTGTTTTTAAACTGTGATCAGAAACTGTAAAAGATTATCACTGTCTTTGATTTTAGTATGAATCTTGCTATAGTATCTCATGGCAGAAACTTTAGAGGGATTCAAAAGCCCAAGTATTTTTTTTTCCTTTTCTTACTCCTCTACTAAGAAAGATTTGGTTGGGTTTTTTTTGTTTTTTTGGGGTGTTTTTTTTTTTTGTTTGTTTGGTTTTTTTTAAAAAAAGTATCTTGCTCTAGAATTCAGACAGCATCCATCAACAACCTGCTGTACTGAAAAAGTAATTTAAACAAATTTGTTAATGGTAATAGAAAAAAGCCTACTTGAGAAAATGAAGGAGGATATCCAACACATACACGTTAGTGCTCCTCAGCTGAGCAATGTGAAGTTCCTACAGGTATTTTAAAATTTTTTAGAATGCAATCTAAAACCTGTCCATTTAAAAGCTAACAATGAAGGGGGTGGGACATGAGAAATACATTTTAGAAAGAAAACCTGTCATCGTTACAAAATAGTTCATATCTGGCAATACATAAACGAGACTTTAATTTAGATCCTTTCCTGCCCAGGACACCAAAGTGTTTCCATAAAGGCTAACTTGAAACAGATACAGAAGTTTCCTACTTCAGTTATAAAGGAAGCAATTTTTCCATGTGTAGATTTAGTATGTCTGTTCTGCTTTCTTGTACAAAAAATGCAGTCATACAAAAAAGCGCCATCCTTAGCATAGACCAGATTCTCATCTGTGAAACGAAGTGTGGCTTTTCAAACACAGGAGGTTCTTAATAGAGTTTGAAGTTTAAACTTCCATTAACTGGGCTGAATTGTACTATTTTGAGTTTGAACAGTTCATGAATATTGCAGTTCTTTAATATTCTTCACTGCTTTGCAGACACAAGAGTCCTAACACAAAATAACCCATCTGAGGCAGCTAAACAGATTAATGGCAGTGTCAGATGTCAAACTGAGCACTTGGATCCTCCGATTACTCTCTAAGGTAGCAGATTCAGGGCACTTAATTTAAAACTCTTCTTCCTGACACCTCTATTTCTGACATCAAGCATTGTATTATGTGCTCTGTGCAGGAACTAAAAGTTTACTTGCACTGATATTTCAGAGAAATTTACTTGCAGAGAACTGGGGATGAGTCTCTTTAACCAAGTAGTAAGCAATAAGACAAGAGGTAATGGCCTCAAACTGTGTCAGGGAAGGTTTAGACTGGATATTAGGAAGCATTTCTTTCCAGATGGGGTTGTTGGGTGTTGGAATGGGCTGCCCAGGGCAGTGGTGGAGTCCCCATCCCTGGAGGTATTTAAGAGTTGGGTCAACATAGCATTGAAGGATATGGTGTAGTTGGGAACTGTCAATGTTGGGTTAATGGTTGGACTGGATGACCTTCAAGGTCTTTTCCAACCTAGATGATTCTGTAATTGTGTGATATTTTCAATGTGAAAGGCAGAAAATCAGAGAAAATTCAAGCCTTGATGAGAGATACTGGTAGCTTACAGAGCTCACAGCAAGCCTCACTCTTTAACCTAAGCCTAACATCTAATCCTACCACCCTACCTCACTGATACCTATGTCAGTTACTTCTACTAGCTAACTGTGCATGGCAAGAACCTTTATCTACTTTAAAGTTCTTGTTTTTCATCTCATTTTCCCCCAAATCTGCCGGTTGCTTCAGATTCAGTTATGTGTAAATTTTTTTCTAATATCCATTATTTATCATCTGTCCATAGATCTGCAACAGCATAAGAGCCCTCTGCACTTTTGTGTTCAAGATACACTTATACTTGGAAAAATGGTTTCAAAGCTAGATGTCTACTCTAAGCTCTGTACAATGAAAAGCACTGTCACTGCACACTGTTCTGCCTGCTCAATTCAGAAAGCATTTCACAGCAATTTCTTTACTGAAGTGCATGCTTTCACAAATGGTAGCCTTCAAGTGAGGCAGCAACCTCTTAAAAAGCAGAATCTAAAGACCTTATTAAACACACAATGCTTGGGAAAAAGGATGGAGTAACTATTTTGATTTCCTTTTTGGCTTATGACTACCAGCATCACAAAACATCATCTAATAGTCTGCTGCATATCAATACTTTTCAGTAACAATTTACTTTGGATATGCTTTCAAATATGTTGTGTGACAATGAAACAAAGGCATATTAGTAATTCAGTAAATTAACTTGAATTACTGTAAAATATATAAGTATTTTGCCTGTCCCTCCAGAAAACAATTACATGCATAGATGAATGCAAGTCATTTATTGCTTTACAGTCACAAAGTTCTCCAGGGAAGAGATACACTACAGCCCTCAAGTACTATGGCTGCATACCGACCAGACTCGGATGCAGAGCAGCAAAGTTCATAGATGATGACATAATCCAATGGAGAACAGCAAAATCTTCCTTTTTAACACAGGCTTGCTCAACAGAATACTAAATCTAATTGCTCAGACTGAGTTATGTGAACATGCTCACATACCTTTAAGCCAAAAGAATAAACAACTGCCAGGACAGGAGACCCTTCAGGCTACAGCCTGAAGCTTACAATTATGTACTATTTCAAGAGCTTAGTTCTTCCAACATACTAGAACTCTTCTTTTCTGAAAATTTCAGTCCTGCCTGAAACACGACCTGTGCTCCTTCCACCTTTGAGGACCTAAAGCACAGTTTCTTCCTGAGCAGTCACATTTCTCTCATCTCCAAGAGCTTCCTCCAAGAGAACTCACACATGGAGTGTTCAATTTAGTAACACACAGCGTATGCTCTGCCCTTCCTGTGCACAACCACAAGCACTGCAAGAACAGCCTTTTTAATGCATGCTGCATAAGTACTATGAAGTATTGCTGCAGAAGCAACCTATTACCAAGCACCTGAAAGTAATTTCTGTAATTTGAAAGCTGATTTCCAGCCCCCTCACCTCCCCTACAAAAATGTACCACTCTGCTCTATGAGCACATCTTGTGGACAATACACAGCATGCTAAAAGCTTTTCCATTTCTTTTAAATGCTGTAATCACTCTCGTGCAATCAGTTCCATGTGGCACTAATGGCCTGATATAAGGCTGTCACTCAATCCTATTTGGTTCTGCTGCACTCATACACAGCTTCTCATCTTTGAGGTTCTAATCAGAGTGTTTTCCTAAGAGGCCAATGAATTAAAGGGATTTCAGCCCACAGAATCTTAACCTTTGTAGTCCAAGTGTGCAATTAACAGAAAACTCAATTAACTCCTAGGAAAATACCTAGTACTGATTAAAGGGAAAGAAACAGCTAGGTACAAAAAATGACACACAGTCGCCCTGTGTAGAAGGCTAATGTTTCTACGTGCTACCATTGATAACCCTTCCAGTGGGTGTTTCAGTAAATCCCTATTTCTTTTGTCCAAGAAAGGGAAACGACAGAATGAATTGCTTGAACAGTACCAATATGTGTTCTATGCAGCAAGCTGAAAATGCAGTATTTGTCTCAATCGTTTTCACTACTAGACTGTGTCTGGCCAAGAGAAAGATACAGAGGCCTTGAACTTTGCTCACATTTACCTGTTCTTTTCTCATTTTCCTAGATGTATTATTTATAGGCTCATTTGGGTGATTAAACTTGATAGTGGTTTTTGCCTGCTTAGTGCAAATAATTCTCATATGATAAACAAACAGTTCCTTTTGTGAGTCTCTAAATAGTATCTCCAAGTATAAAAGCAGATTCCAAGGCCCAATTATAAGCCTCTGGAATTTGGAGGGAAGCAAAGGCATTCTGGCACTAAAATCCCATTCTGCTTCTCAGTAAATTCACGTATTTAAGAAACAGCAGCTTTTAACTCTCTACAACAACATTCTGTTCCTTACAAGCATGCTGACTTGGTATTCACAGAATAAAAGAATATTTATCATTACACACCAAAACCTTCAGGAGTTAAAATTTGCAAACAGAGAACCATCTGCAATCTGCAGTTCTCCTCCCTCAACACCTCAGAAAAGCTCTATGAGCATTCCAAACACTACCTTCTTTTCATCAAGTAGTAAGTAAAATCTGTCTTTTTGACCAACACATTTCTTCTGTATTTGTTTTGAAAGCAGAGGGCCATTGTGGGGAAAGGGGAGGAAACCACACAGGTGATATGGTACCCCTCCAAAGTATCAGCACTTCAGAATGAATTACACCCAGCTTTGGGGGACTGCTTCCCCAGATACGGACATTCACACACAAATGTGCATGAAGACGACTGTTTGCTGGAAACTGAATTCATTTCTCATAACCAGGAGGTGAAGTCACACCTGAGAAACTTCTTTCTCCTCAGCATTTCCGTAGTGGAGACAAGCCTCAGTTCCACTAAGACTTCCAGATATCATCTCTAGAGGGCGATTTAAGACTCTCCTTCAATTTACCGTAACCTCCGCCCCAGACCCTCAGCTCCCTCTAATGCACTGCCTCAGCTAGATAGATGGACCACTTCCACATCTTGAGCCATTTTACAGATAGAATTCAAATGAGTCATCATGAAAAGAAACACTTCGGCGTCATTAGCATTACAATATTTATTTTTCTGTGATTCTGTTAATGCTTAGGGATATGGTGTAGTTGGGAACTGTCAGTGCTATGTTAATGGTTGGACTACATGATCTTCAAGGTCCTTTCCAACCTAGTTGATTCTGTGATTCTGTGTTTTTTCCTCCTATGCCTGCTCACTTGCTATCTATATTTGACAGCTACTGCTGTGCAGGTCTTTCTGCTCCCCACATTTAATGTATTAGACTTCTGGCTGCTTCCTGATACAGATCGCAAGAGCTGCAAGTCATGTTCAATGCTAAGCACTGTACAACATACGCTTCAGTAAATAACCACAGCACCAGAGGCACCATAGGTACTTCATAACCTGAGCATGAAGGAAAGCACAGTAATTCAGAGCTCCCCAGCCATCAATGGTCTTTTTCAACCGTTTAATGTTTGTGTCTTCTCTCAGGCTTGCTCACATTCTGCTGCTTTCAGCCCCTCCTTCCTACCCCTTCTTCCCCTTTTTGCTCTTTCTATAAAACAAACTTACAGTTGTGGTGATATTTTGCATATAGTATTACCCTTTGAATACTTAGATTAAAACCTACCTTGTCCTGAAGGATTTGCTGCCATCCTTCAATTTTCAGCCCTTGTTTTATTCAGCTGCAGCTCAAATCTTTTACCCCCACAAATACCTGCAAAACAAGCATAATAAAGATAAACATATTATTTTAAAAGAAAAGCTTGGATTTCATTCTGTTATAGATTTCCTAAATGTGGCAACTCTTACAAATCATAAGCCAAATACAGCATGCGTACTGCTCAAAATATGTAAACTATTTGTATTGTTCCGTTTGAAATTTTTAGCTTGAAATCTCAAGAGTTATAATCAATTCTTTTTCAGATTCTAGTAACTTAAAAATAACCGCCATCCCTCCCCACCCCCTTCCCAGCCTGGCTCTCCCCGCCCAGCCCCGCCGCAGCCAATGGGCTGGCGGCACATGCTCGTGACGCACTCACTGCGCGACGACGCCTCCGCAGCCGCGCCGTCTCTCTCCTTCCCGGGCGGTGGCGATGTGCGTCACGTCGCGCAGCGTGACGGACAGGTCGCATCGGCCATTCCGCTTCAAGGGGAGGGGGGGGTAGGAGAGCCCCTCCCCTGGGGCCTCGCTCTGGGCCGCCCCTGGTCTCTAGGCAACGGGCAGGGCCCTGTATGGGGTAACTTTTCTGAAGGTTAAGCCTCTCTTAAACAGCACCCGTGGCTTTTATTTTACATCCTTGCGGTTAAGATACTTTAGTTTTACTCAAACCAAGACGAGCAGTGATTTGAACTGTGGCCCTTAACAGCTGCACTTCTGATCATACATGAGTAAAATCAATTCCTAGGAACTGCAATAAATAAATAACAGGCTGCAAACAGATGGGGGCCAACGCTGGCCACTGGCTAGCCAAGAAATCAGTCACACTGCCTACTTAAGTTTTACACGCAGGGGTTTTTTTAGGCACTAAACAATTTTCATCAAATAAAGGCCTTTTTAGAAACAAATTTAAAGATGAGTACAGAAAGTTAATTTAGTAAATCTTAGTTCAAGGCGTCTCTAGTTAGATAAGCTTTTACTGCAGGATGCTAAACTTTTTAATACTGAGACTTCGGTGGTGTATGTATCAGGCATTTCTGAACATTACAGCAAGAGCAATCTTGCTTCTGGTAGTAAAACCTTCTGTACACTGCTGGGCATTTAATTTCATCTGCTTCCTCTTCCATCATCTCTTACAAGCCCATAACCTCATGATTCTCCAGGCCTAAAGTGGCTTATTAAAAACTTTTGGTTTAGTTACAATGGAATTATTTATATTGATAAGAACACACACAGGGTGCACACAGTACTAAATGCCACGCTTGTCCATTATCTTGGACAACCAAATATAGACATAATTTTTGAATGCAATTAACAATTTTTGAAGATCTGCTGTACTAAAATATGCTAGATGATGCAGAAATAAATTACCTTTTTGAGAGCGTACAGAATGTATGAAAATCCTATCTATCTGTAACCATTCGACTTAAACCAGTGTGCATTACTATTCTGCATACAAATTCTGTGAGAGAGGGTGTGTTCTGCTAACCAAACACACTGTCTGTCCATGCATTTATACTTACTTTTCACAGACTCATTGTGAAAATTGTAAAACTGAACAAATTTGTGTCTAGAGACTTGTAATGGCCAGATTTAGAATTTGGTTACCTAGATTCCCTGGTAAAACCAGCCTCCCTGTGTTTGTGTGTGTTAATGAAAACTCAAACCATCACCTAAGCAACCAGCAAACATCTGGCAGTCTCAGAGAGTTTTCTGTTTGCTTTAAAACTGTGCTAATTAATACTGTAGAAAGTAAACATTGATGCCTTTCCCACATATTTTCAACTATTCTCTTTGCTTGAACAGCTGATTGCCTTCCCTCCTCTTGTTTTGGCTTTAACTTTTGTAATTTCTCATTGTGCCTTGAAAACTGGCATACATGCTATTTTTTTTTTCCTTTTAATTATTCTCTCCCGGATATTTTGCAGTCCATTTTACCAAGACATCTTGCTTGTAATTCTTAACTGCAAAGAAGCATTGCAAAAGAAGAGCAGTGCAGTGCCGAAGCTAATAAACCTACCTGGTGCATTTCTCTGCATTGTCATGCCAGGACTGAAGATGTAAGTGATTCTGAAAAGCTTCAGTTTGAGACACACAGGACAAGGAGGAGTCATCATCAACAAGGAAACTCAGGTGCAGAAGGGTTGAGACTCATTAACTCTGCAGTTCTGTACAAATGTGATGAATTTTGATCATAGCAGTAACTTTGAGCATCTCTGTGAAAACATAGTCCTGCCTCAAGTCAAATTATCCTTTGGCTTTGGGAGGAGTTTCATATCAGTAAATTAATTTCCTCTTTGGGTTGTAGAAACAGGAAGGAATGTAGCCCTTGAAAGGAATGGAGTCTAATCTCTTGTGCATCAGAACACTTTCATTTTCCCTGAAATTCCTCCTTCTTGTTCACCATAATCAAATTAAAAATTATAAAATATAGTATTTATAGTGTCTCTATTGGAAAATCATTACAGTATCTTAATTTTTAAAAAAAGCTCTTTTTGAACATTGCTTCACAAATCTGGCCATGGTGCTTCTTGAGCCAATAAAACACTGTTTTTCAGACTGGCTGTTCTTGTCATCTCCATGTAGAGGGAGCTGAGTATCTCATTAAATAAACAAAAGCTATGTTAAATTGTGTGTGATACTGAATAATCATAAACTGCAATATTTCAGCATGGCAATGAGCAGTTCCATTCACTACAGGCTGCTTGCAATTGACAAAGCTGAGGTAAAAGTGATTTACTTTTTTTTTTCTTTTTTTTTTTTTTAAGTGAAAATGAACTGTGCAGGATGTTTCCTTGGCTTGAGCCAAGATCTTCCAGAATGCTCCTGTTATTTCCAACTGGCAGTGCTATTCATACAGACCCCTTCTAAACACTTCCTTTTATTTCTATATTTATTGTGCATGTCACAAAACCCCACAACCAAACAAATTAGAATGTTTTGAAGAGTCTGTAGACATTTTAGTCAGATTACTTTTTTATACCCAATTGCCTCAAGATACTGTACCCACAGTTATAGTCTTTCTCCATGGCTGGAATTCTGAGTTTCATTTGATAGTCATTTAGCACAGCCTTCCACTTTTTTTCACAAGTGCCCTATCTTCCCACAGTGCTGTTTATTGCTTCCCAATCAACTTAGCAGCTTTGAAGGCTTTTGATGCAGCAAAAGCTTACCTATTAGCTTAAATGTGTGCATGAATAGTGCTGATGACTTGAAAGTGATCCCATCTCTGTACAGAGTCAACAAGAACGTGGGTAAGAGTTAACTGGGTCAGATCAAAAGCCTGCTCTCTTCAATGTCTGCAACACATGAGCTGGGTAGCATAGGGGAGGAAGGATCTTTATTCAAAAGACAGCTAGATTTTTAAATTTTTTTACATCCTACAGAATGATGTTATTTTGTACTAGTTTCATATGTGCTTATGTGCATACAGACACAGACGTTATCCTATCTAGGTACAGCACAGGGGGAAAAAAAGAGGCTGTTGACACTGAGGAAAATAATTTTTTACTGCCATTGACCTGGCAAACCAGCCAAGCCTGACAGTCTGGCTCATGTGGCCTCCAGCCTACCTTATTGTTTGTTGTCTGTACTGTCTGGAGTGTGCTATAGAGAAGAATCCTGTAATTTAGTCTTTAAATAGAATACTTCATGAAAAGCAGGTGGGTTTTACCTGTCTAGTCTAGTAAAAAAATTCAACCTGAAGTTAGCCTCCTGCTATTCATTGTAAACTCTATTGCCATTTTATGTCTCATTATCTGAACAAGAAGATGAAGATGCATTGTGAAAAGAATGTTACGAAACAACTGAGAGTCCTTTTCATGCGCACACTGAGCACTTACACCACCATCTGCCATTATAAAAACATCCCAAGAGGTATTATTGGAGTACAAGGCACTCCAGCTCAGAAGAGCAGTAAATCACTGGTGCTGCCTATCTTTGAATTTGGAAACACGTTTTCCTACAGGTGCTTTTCCGTTATGATGAAGGAGTTGCTCCAATCCTTGCTTTGAAGAAAAGCACTTTGCCACCTAGTACTCTAAGGCTGCCATGTAGTATATTTGCTGCTGTCTGTAACATCTGTCAATTAAAATCAGGAACTGTGTTAAATATGAAAATGCTCTTTTTCAGAGGATTTAGACAGGCCATAGAGAAAGCACTTGGATCTCAGAACCCACCACCAAACTGCTTTTATACCAACAACTGTAGGTATGTCATACATAATGCAACAGCACTGCATAGTATCTCTTCAAAATTGCTGTTCTTGCTTATGTTGGCCTATGTCCCACCCTTAGTAAAAATGACAGGAGATGTAACACAGACAGAGTGATCTCCATCTGGTGCCAGAGATGCTTAATTATAGTGTATCTCAGCCTTAGTTCAGAAGATACAGCTAAACAGCAGAGTATGAGTACTTCCTGAACTAACACTGCCTTACGGAGGTGCAAGAGTGTCACTGAAAGGGCAGGATGAGGATGAGAAGGCAACCTGTAGATCCTTTCTTTCTCTATTTGTCCTATTACAATCCAAAGAGGAAGCCTGCATTTCATTTCAGTGATGCAGAGGCAGAACTATTTTCTTCAGAAAAATAACACATGAGACTGGTGGCCTTTGTCTTGAATTGGTGAGACCCTTAATCCCCAAACTGACAATTTGCCTTCTTGCCCAGTTAGTATGATATGCATACCTATTCTGTTGTATCTTGTTTCTCATCTGAAATGATGTAAACAGAACAAATAGTTAGGATTTTGCTAGGAGAGCATGGGAGTTTTTTCAGGTTATCTTGGGTTGAGAGGTAGGCATTGAACAGCAGTCTCTCTTCAGCCAGTCACTGATTTTGATTCTCATAGTGTCTTTTATTCTGCTGGTTGAATGTTTCATGTGCTGTTTGGTTTTAGCTTGGTCAATGTTTAACAAAAAGAAAATAATCAATAAAAATTTCAAGGAGAATATTACAGTCATTATGTCATCACAGTTAGCAGTATGGAATAGGAACTGGAGAATGGAATGTTACCATGTTTTTAATAACTCATAATCTCTTAGCAGAATTAAAACATTTATGTATTTCAGTGCTGCTA